ACGGGTTGCGGGTCACGGATGGGGTCCGACCCGATCGGTACGTTCCCGACGTCCTCCTCCATTATGAACGGACAGAGCGGGAAGTTTCGCGAGTGCTCCTCCAGGGGCCACAGACCTAGGTGGTTTTATGAATAGTAAACATGGTTAATAATAAATAATTAATTTAAGTTTGAAATATTGGATTTTTAAATTAATATACAATATAAATTATTATAAATGTAATGATATTTTTTATAATTATAACCACTGTTAGCCTGATGTTTGACAAAACAACTGCATTATGTAAAGTAAATGTAATAAAACTTTGATATTAATATTTATCAAAGTATTATCCGTTGCGATGAATAGATGTTTTTATAAATATATTAAATTACCATGAAACTAACAAAAATTAATTAAATTAAGAAACCGGACACTATTGAATAATTGGATACCTTGATAATTCAATTAACTATTTCCAAAAATAATTCATTTTCTAATAAATATAGTTGTTTTTGTAATACAATATTTTAATAATGGGATAAAATTATTTATTCATGATAAGTTTTTTTCAATTCAATCACTCGCACACCTGTATGAGTAGGAACACAATTGAGATCACAATGTGCCCAAGGTCACGTGTTGGTTGGCTGGTTACTATCTATCGGGATTTATCGTATAAATTATAATCTACATGATAATCAATGCTATAAAATAATTATCACGTTGATTATTAATTTTATGCAAATAATAAATATCCAATTATAATAAATTGAACAAAAGTTTTATTTCTATTTTAAAACACTAATTGATAATTAAAATTTTAAAATATATAAAGTAATATAAGACTATCTGAATTACTAATTAATTTCTTGGTCATTATTCCCATAATGAGTTTACTATACGGTTCCTATTGAGAGGGGATTAGGGGTAAAGGATTGGCATAGATTATGCATTTTTAACCACAATTAAAACATAAAAACTAAAAATACTATTGAATGTAAGAAACATTTTCACGACATTTGATAAAACAATTGTTAATTAAAGCCTTAAACGAGCAAAATGTCAAAAAACAACAAAATTTAAAATAAACTTCATTATAACTGACAGCGAAAATTTTAATTATTAATTATGGTAATCCATGCGCTACTGAAAACAATGCCTACCATAGCCTAACCCTCCCCGGCCTATACCCAAACCCACACGTAATGTTTGTCCAATTTATTCAATGTAAAAGTTTAAATAATTTACATTTTGTTAAATCATTTACAAAAACAACAAAACTCCCGATTTATATGTTTTCAATGATAAATGACTTTCAAAAAAGTAAAAGTCATTAAAAGTTAACAAACATTTTGTGTATCTGTTTTATAGTACTTTCATTCTCTCTCTCTCTCTCTCTCTCTCTCTCAAGAAGGAAGGAGAGAGAGTTTTAAAACTACCATAATAAAATATAACGACACAACTACATACCTGGAGCCCACGATCTGATCACCCCGGTGCAAAACGGGCACTGAACCCGATCATTTTCGAGCATAAAAAATCCGGCCCTCGCCAAGTCCTGGGGCCGTACGCCGGGCACTGTCCATATCTGTTCTCCGGCCAAATAGTAGGACTTGAGTCTATTGGCCTCAACGCGCATCGCCTGCCGAACGGCACCGATATTGCGGTCGTTTTGGCGAAATTCACGCATCTGTTCGTCACTAACGCCCGGTTCGTTGTGGGACTGGCGGTCGTTGTCGTCGCTGCGATCGCCCGACGAGGCCGTAGGGCTGTGGCCAGCGCTGGTGGTCGTCGATAGGGATGTGGACCCACTGCTGGCCGACGATGACGACGACGACGTGGGACTACTGGACATTTGCTCCGACGGTGATGTGCTCATCGAACCGGTGCCCGAGTCGTCCGACTCGCAGCCACCGGCGATTGAACGACCGACGCCACCGCTGGACAGGGCATCGAGTGTTAAGGTCGACTGCGATACAGTACAAGTGGGGCCCGACGACTGGCCGTTGACTAGTATACAGTTGGCGCACAGTATGTGTCGGTGTTTGACAACCGCTGGCGGGTGTGAGGGTTGGTAAGCGTTGGCCAACGGTTGGTCACTAGTGTCTGTCCGGTGTTGGTTGTGGTGATGGTCGCCGACGATATGTTTTCTACACACACAACACTGAGGTATGGTATGGCCGGTGCTGTCGATCGGTAGTATCGGTTGTTGAGAAACTGATGGGCGTCCGCCGAGTGTCAGTTGCGGTAGTAGTGGTGGTGCCGGCCATTCACCACTATATCTATGACTATATGATTGACACTTTCGTTGGTTGCGATCCTGTATATCATCCGGGGTTTCGCTGACGACTACTGGCGCTGAGACACTGGTGTTAGCGCTGGTGGTAGTAGTTATGGTCGGCCTGTCCTCCCGTTCCGCCCTCTCCTCTATGTAAGGCATGACATCACACGTGAAATTCAATACACAATACAACAAAAAAGCGCAAAAAATAAATAAATATTATTTAAATGAGATTTTTTCAGTGTTATTATAATTCGCACAATAATTAAGTATTAATATTATTATTGAATGCAAACAAATGCAACAAAAACTTTTGAAATTAAACAAAAAATGCAGTCAACACTTGTTTTGTTGAATAGTTTTTGCAAAGTTTTCAAACTTTTTTCGATCGTGTATTAAATGGTATTTTTCACTCAATTCAATATTGTTTGCGAGAGTCGTGTTGTGTTGAATGCGTGTATGAATTGTATTATAATATCTACAGAAAAATAAATAAAAATAAAACAAATTATAAATAAAAACAAAAATAAATAAAAATGTTTTCAAAATTATAATAATGAAAATCAGTAGGAAATGAAAAAAGTCGAGACATAAATACCCTATTGTTTGTAAACAATAGGAAATAATAATAATAATAATTGTATACTATTTCCAGTGTTATATCGATGGCCACTAACTATAATTTTAACGGGTGATAGCAGTCAACCCTTTCCCCTCAAAAATGCGACCCAACCTAAACAGCCCAACCCTAACATGTTTTGATTGATTATAAAAATGACCAACATTATAATTAATGACGCAATGCACCGGGCCAAATAGTCTCTGATTGCAGTTAGCCTGGTCATTGGTTTAAACTTTAAACACAGATGAAAAACTTTGTATAGCTTGACGAACATGGTTAAAATGAGTAATATTTTTATAATAGGTATTTTTAATGACATTTTTCAGAGACATGAATGCCATATATGGGGACAATAAATAAAAATTAACAAACATTTATTAAAAATAAAAACAAAAATAAAAACATATTTCCAAACATATACTGTAATCGCATATTATATTGAAATTTGAATTTTTGTTGTTTATTTTTCGCTCAAATTCCCGTTTAATAATGTATTGTATGCTAAATATGGTCTTAACAGTGACTTTATATAGAGGTTTTAAGTTTTTATTTTTACTTAATATTTCTATCATTATTCAATCACTTTGATTATAAATGTAATTTAATTAATGATGATTGAAATTTATAGCTTTTCGTGTAGGTGAGCAGGGTTAGCCAATAATTAAATTGTAATTTTATAAACAATCGCTAATTGGTTAATAATTTTATAATAAATCATGAGCAAGTTATAATTAACTAAAACAAGTATTATAATGATTATTGAAATAACAATTTAAGCAACAACAACTTCATGGTAACTTACGGCTAGTTTATGAGCACACAATTATATCCATAAATGTAAAATAAAGTTAATAAAATGAATTAAACATTTAAATAATTATAAAAAGTATTGATTATAACATTCACTAAACGCAACGAAAACATGTGTTTTAAAAATATGAGACAAAACTAAACCATAATTTTTTAAAACATTTCAGTTATAAAAGGCATGTGTTTTGTGTGAAGCTAACGGACTTTTATACAGTCTGTGTTTCGTTAATCTATGTTACTTATATTTCAAATCAAACTTATTTGTCCTATCACAGACTAGGGTGTACAAACTTTGTACTACAAAGTGTGTTTATATTAAAACTTATTCTATTTCACTAAATCACAATAAAAACAATAACATATTTATTTAAAATAAAATTATCATATCATCAATTTAATTGCAGATTTTGATTATAATTCTTATATTGCATGTGATTCATAGCAACATGATATTTATTATTAAAGTAAAAATTTAGTTTTAAATTTCATAAATTTTAAAGATTTTATGAAATGCTAAAGTATAATAATCACGTTAGACTCAGGGTGGTTTTGCCATAATTTTAAGTTTTAAGTAAAATATAAGTTTGTTAATTATCAAGTAATAACTTATAAGCTATAATTATAGTTTGAATATAAAATTAATATTTAAAACTTACTGGTATACAGGATTTTCCAATAGTTTACAGTGCAAACTGAATACAACTACAGTAATCTAGGTAATAATTCACGATATAATTCCAATTATAGTAGATTAACAGATTATGGCTTATGTAGTTAAGCAGTTTGTAGGAAATAATGGTGTAAAATTACTGATAAATTAAACTATGGATTTGTATAAATCCCCTTGGTCAGTAACAATTTCACGTGAACACTTCATGAGCATGAAACATTAAAAATAATCTAGTGAATCACCATGATATGTGAATCACAATAATATTGTTATGTTTGCTAATATGAACGACAATATATACAGTGTATACACAATAAGGTTGACCAGAATTACGTTATGTGTGTGCAATAATACCAGAATATTCTTGCATTATTATATGTAAATTATTGATCAACATTATTATGCAACGCACCGGCAATTATACAGTATTTTTAAATAATGGATCATGATGAAATGATATTTTAATTTCTTCCCTAGTAATTACATTTTTCACAAAAATTTCATTCATAAAAATACGGTAAATAACTGATTAAAAGTGGTAAACAATACGCAGGAAACTTCTAATACATTAAACAATAATAAGTTTAATAACTATTAATAATAAGTAAACACTTGAAATTCACGTGAAATAAACATGGTAATCTAAATAAATATTTACATTAAACAACTACATTTTCTCATTGAAAAATTATTAGACATTTTATAATTACACAACACATTGGGAAAGTCACAATATTTATTAACCAACACCCAAACCTCGCTATATTAACAAAACACTAGGTCGAATTACACATATTGCCAAAAATTAGTATTGTTTATGTAGAATAATTACTATGAATAAGTATATTATTGCTATATACAATTCAATGGGATATTTAATAATCTTAATTAAATTATA